AAATACCCTCCTCTCCAGGCAGGCAGTATGCACAGCTTGTACTGTAGCACATTGGACAAATGTCTGTCTCCTGTATGCAGTTGCAACCTCCATCTAGTGAATAAATTGCCAGGTGCCTACATTAGAGATGAAGTCACTGCAATTCCAAATATGGAGGGAAGCTGGAGGGGAAGGTGCAACAACAGCTGACCAAACGGAGGCTGAAGCTAACACTAAACCAACCACCCTTCTCACATCTTTATATTCCTTCTATGTTAATGCTCAGGTTCACTACGGGCAGCTTCAATCAAACACCGTGAGCACGGGGTGAGGACTTTCTAAACTAGATCAGGGTTAGAGTTAGGCTTTCTTATCCTCTACAAATCGGTCAGAAAGAGCTTTCGAAAAATGTTGACAAAAGCACCTGGTGAAGATTAATCCGAAAAGGCTCAAAGGGAAGAAAACGATACCAGATATGAAAAAAAATCTAGTTGACTGTACAAATGCACTGGAGGAAAAATGAATGTGCTGGATTTTTGTGGAGTGAATGGACCAGATCATTAAATAAATCCACATGTTTTTAATTCTATATCCCAAACAATGAAAATCACCTGGAATTTGGTTAAAGTTTATTCCGACACAAACATTACGCCAACCAGAAAGGGCTGCCACGCAGGGAGTTCTCAATTAAATGAAAATCAAAATACAACACAAAGAAAGAGAACAGCTAACATTCAGAATGAGTGAACTACACGTGTATGTAGACACGTGTCTTTTTGTTCTACAATACATTATATTTCAGCGCCTTGGGACGTCCTACTGACGTGAAAGGCGCTATACAAATGTAATTTGTTGTTATAGTTCTACAATATCTTACAAAATAACATTTACCATGGCTCACCCGATTCCAAAACAGCATCCTAATGAATATTAAAATGATCACAGGTACCGTAACAACACATGCTGATTGCTAGCTTTTGGAGGTCTGACGTTCGCTGGCACTTAAGTACCAATTTGTGAGTATTTTAAAAATCATACCTGCAAATAGTTTAAGAAAAACACACTGTAGACAAAACACTGGATTTCCCGCTGTGGATATATAAATGTATAACAGCACTGGGGTACTTTTTGCAGTGAGTGCCATCTCAAGACTCTCTCCCTGCAATTTCAAACTGCATGGGGTTAGGCAGTCTGGCTTGCAGGAAGGAGTGTTGAATGTCCCTCCTTCTCTAAATTATCTTTCTTCACCTTCCTACCACGTGAATGAAATCGACAAAATAACTTACATTTTTAGTGTTTAGGGATACCAGGTGCTCTAGGACACTACCCTGCGTGAGGAGCGCTATATAAATGCAAGTTGTTGTTTTAAAATTAAAATGTCAACGGTTTTACAGTAATTAATGGCAAATCTGTTGACTGCTTTTGTAGACAAATAGCCATTTTGACCCAACAATGTCCCACAAGAGAGGCTTAAGAAATTTGGACTTTTCCACAAGCTGAGATGGCTCAGGAGTGAGGATGAAGGAATGTTATAGTAATCAATTATTTCCAAAAATTTACCGAGAGGATTAGTCAGGACACTGGAGAAAAAAAAACTCCCTTCTCTTTCCAATGGTTTTGGAAGAGGTTTGAGAGCCATCCAAACAGCCTGCCTTGTTCTTTGAGATGTTAAACATTAATTTAACATCTCAAGGGCAACATCATCAACAATACAGGGTACCTAACACTGCACTGTAGTGCCAAGTCCCAATTTAGGGCTCAAATCAACAACTTTCTAACACAGGGACAAGCAACTGAACTATGACACCTAGACTCTCTTTGTTTATAAGTCAGGGTATTTGGTCTGTGTTCCTCATTTTCAAATCTCAAACAAGTGCATTATAGTTCTGTAGCTCAGTGGTTAGAGCACTTGCCTTGCAAGCAAGAGACCGGAGTTCAATTCCTGGCAGGACGAAATGTTGGGCATGTTTTCTTACTTCACACCTCTATTTGCCTAGCAGTAAGTAGGAACCCGGTTGGTGGATCGCTTTTCTGGGGGTAATAATTCCTTTTTTAAAAAAATTGTTTACTTCAATCCACAACTGTTTGTGGGACATTGCTGTGCGCAATTGGCTGCCTTGTGTCGCCCACAAAATAGACAGTCAATTCACTCAAAACAGTATATTTTGTGAAGAGCTTTGAGACGTCTCGAAGATTTGATAAGGGGCTATATCAAATGCAAGGATTATTATTAGTAGTAGTCGTAATGAGGAATATAAAAGTGTAAGGTGATAGCTTTTTAATGTGTAGGGCAATATCAGATTGCATATTATAGTCTTGTTTGTATATTTAGTGGGGCTGGAAGTACTTCTCTATTCTGAAGAGGATAGGGAAGAGAAAATATGAATCCATTTTGCAACAAAGATAAGAGGAAATAATGTTTCTCTCTCATATAGTGTTTTTTTAAATGTAATACTCTATTGTATACTACAATTGATTTTGATCCATGAGTTGCTTTGTCCTCAATAAATAAATGCATGCAAGTTTGGAGGCTGCTGAGCCCTTCAGATTCTTCTGGAGCCCATGTGTTCACCTGTCCCTCCCTCAAAGCAGCACACCTTTACTCTTTTGAGGTGCTTTACTCTTCTTATTGTCCATCAGTTTCACTCAATTCTCACCAATCCCTGCACGTTGTCTGTCTTTACACAATATGCCTTTCTTAATCCCACAAAGTATCAAAACCTGAACTGCACTTTTCAATATTTCTATATTCTGTATTTCACTTCCTCATTCTGTCTCATATTTTGATACAAAACGCAGAATTACCTTCACTGCCTTCTCAAATGGTTCTTTCCTGATTGTATTTTTATACGAAAAGTAACCACGAAAATTAGCACAGTTCTCCACGCGTGGTCTTCAACTAGTTTCACTTCCCTGGATTTAGATTCTACGTATAAACCCAACATTTGACTTTCTGTTAATATGATGAACAATAATACTCCTTGCATAAGATATAGTGCCTTATCACATCCTCGAGATGTCTCAAAGCGCTTCACAGAATATATTGTAAAGTGAATTGACTGTATGTTTTGTGAGCGAAACACAGTAGTGTCCTACAAACATTGAACAAAGGACATTCCTCTCACAAAATACAGAAAGCAACACTGATCAAAAAAGCAAGATCAAAGCCACATTTGGCATAAATGTGCAAGTTCAGAGGTCTCCCGTTGAAGTACTTCAACACAGAGTTTTGTACTCAGGGAAAATCCAACAAATTATCCCAAACAGTGAATGATTCCTGGCTGCTCGGCAGACACAAGGAAGGCTTACAGCAGATCTATTTCTCTACATATACTGCAGAAAACTATGTGGTGCAGTACACTTGAACATTTTTAGCTGAATTACTACTGAGATTGGCAAGTGAGCATTTACAGGCATAGGAGTGAGGCACTCATTGTTCTGAATGTTCCTTCAAGACGAGAAGCCACTTATCAAGCTGGTTGACAGATTTAATAGAATTTCAAAGTAACAGGTTAATGCGTCCTTGAACAGATGACAGTCCACTTATTGCTTCAAGTCGCATGGTGACAAAAGGTGGTTACTAAGTCTGAGAAGCTACAGCACAGTCCACTTTTACAATGTGGCGATTCCCTCCTTCAGTTGAGACGTTGAGCTGAGGCCTCGACTCTCTCTTCAGGTGGATGTTAAAGATCCTACGGGACTATTCAAAAAGAGAGGGATTTTCTCTCACCATCCTGGCCAACAAGATTCCATTTATAGAGCGCCTTTCACGTCGGGAGGACGTCCCAAGGTGCCGGACAGTTGGGTGAGGACCCGAGCCGGGGGTAATGGTCAGGGTGAGGGGAGGGAGCGAGGAGGGGGTAGAGAGTCGAGAGGGGAGCTGAAGGTACGGTCAAAGAGAAAGGTCTTGAGACCGGCCTTGAAGGAGGAAAGGGAGGAAGCGGCGAAGGCACTGGGGGATGGAGTTCCAGAGCCTCGGGGCTGAGAGGCTGAAGGCCCGACCACCGATGGTAGGGCGATTGGGGCGGGGGACGTGGAGCAGACCGGTGCCAGAGGAATGGAGGGTACGGGCAGGTAGGGGGATAGTAGGTCGGAGAGGTAGGAGGGAGCGAGACCGTGAATGGCCTTGTAGGTGAGGATGAGGATCTTGAATTCGATCCTCTGGGGGATGGGGAGCCAGTGGAGGCGAGCGAGGGTGGGAGTGATGGGGCCAACAATCCCCCAGAGAGAAAAAAAGCTACTTATTCTCTTCAGGGTTGTTTGCTGTTTGTAAACTGGCTGCGGTATCCATCTACAAAACAGTCACTACACTCTTGACGTTCGAATAGTAGATTTTGTTTGCCCACCGAAAATACACAAACACACCACTGTATTATCCCGTGAAGCTCCTCCAAGAAGTCTCGACAACTTGATATGAAACTATCTCAAATGCAAGGATTATTATTAAATTCCGTGAACTGCTTGACACGTCCTCTCAATGTGTAAGGGAATCATGTCAAGGCAGTTCACAGAATTTATAACGGTGCACAATTCTGCGCTGTGAGGTCACAGAGAAGGTCACTGCTCATTCGTGAAAAAAACAGCAGCTTCTCAGTCATCCGGTCGCCGCTGACACTAGTTCCTGCTCCCTGCACATGGACACAGAAAGTCAGCAGGCTAGTCACAACCAAAGCTGCTTGTTCTCACAGGTTACATTGTGCATTGACATGAAGCACAACCAAACCGATACGAGTGACACGAATGCACAGCCCAAGAAGCTAGCCTGGGATCCACAAGGACTTATAAGTAAGCCATTATTATAATAAAGAGCATTATAACACACTGTATTTGCTTTCAATTCTCATTCCCAACCCTCCCCTTTTCTATTCCCAGGCAGAAACCGCACATGGTATTAATTTAGTTCCTTGGTTTACCCCCCTTTTGAAATAGACACAATACAACATGACATTTGTATAACGCCTTTCATGTCAGGAGGATGCCCCAAGCGCTTGGAGATAGGAAAAGATGTGCAAAGACCCTACCTGCCTCAGATCTGTCCAAGTTATGGAGAGAGGCTATTGAAGTTAGGGCTGTGTTCCTGCCACTTCTGCCAAGAATAGCTGAAGAATCGGGATTATGAGGATATCTAAAACAACAACAACAACAAGATTCCATTTATAAAGCGCATTTCACGTCAGGAGGACGTCCCAAGGTGCTGCACAGTTGGGTCAGGACCCGAGCATTGGGGGGGAAATGGTCAGGGTGAGGGAAGGGAGGGAGCGAGGAGGGGGGAAATGGTCAGGGTGAGGGGAGGGAAGGGAGGGAGCGAGGAGGGGGAAATGGTCAGGGTGAGGGGAGGGAAGGGAGGGAGCGAGGAGGGGGAAGAGAGTCGAGAGGGGAGCTGAAGGCTGAAGGTCAAAGAGAAAGGTTTTGAGACCGGCCTTGAAGGAGGAGAGGGAGGAAGCGGCGAAGGCACTGGGGGATGGAGTTCCAGAGCCTCGGGGCTGAGAGGCTGAAGGCCCGACCACCGATGGTAGGGCGGTTGGGGCGGGGGACGTGGAGCAGACCGGAGCCGGAGGAACGGAGGGTACGGGCAGGTAGGTAGGGGGATAGTAGGTCAGAGAGGTAGGAGGGAGCAAGGCCGTGAATGGCCTTATAGGTGAGGATGAGGATCTTGAAATCAACCCTCTGGGGGATGGGGAGCCAGTGGAGGCGAGCGAGGGTGAGGGCGAGGGCGGGGGCGAGGGTGGGAGTGATGTGGTCGCGGTGTCTGGTGCGGGACAGTACACGAGCTGCAGAGTTCTGGATGACCTGCTGTGTGGAGGGAGGTGGCGGGAAGGCCGGCGAGGAGAGAGTTCCCATAGTCCAGCCTTGAGGTGACAAAGGCGTGGACCAGGGTTTCAGCCGCGTGAGGGGTGAGGTAGTGCCGTAGTCTGGTGATGTTCCGGAGGTGATGGAAGGCGGTGCCAGTTGTGGTGCGGATGTGAGGGAGAAAGGACAGCTCAGGGTCGAGGGGAACCCCGAGGTTCCTGATGGCTTTGAGAGGTGGAGAGTGCGGCCGTGGAGCTGATGGTGTCGGCGCCTGAGGTGCGGAGGCGCTGACGGAGCCAATCAGGAGGGCCTCAGTTTTGCGCACGTTGAGCTGAAGAAAGTTGTCTCTCGTCCAGGACTCGATGTCGGACAGGCAGGCTGTCAGGACATCGGGGGTCGTGGAGTTGAGAGTAGAGGAGGAAAGGTAGAGTTGGGTGTCATCCGCATACATGTGGGAGTGAACTCCATGTCTGCGGATGATGTCACCACAGGGGGAGCATATAGAGGGTGAAGAGGAGGGGACCGAGGACAGAGCCCTGAGGGACACCACATGAGACAGTGCGGGGGGTGGAGGAGAAGCCATTTGTGGAGAGTACAGTACAGTAAAGTAATAGATTATTTTCACAGGTCAGCAAGTCAGTAACAAGGCACCACACATTTAAATTAAGTCACAAAATTAAATTCAAGGGAAAGCTAGAGAACGTGTTAGAAAATGTGGAATTCTCTACCACAAACCATTGTTGACGCAGTTTAAAAATGATTATAAAATAGAACAAGATAACAGGAATATTCACGGATGCAGGAGCAAGTAAGAGAGTGCATTTGGAGTGTCAGGTAGCTCATGTGGAGGGACTGAATGGCCTATTTCTGTGCTTTAACATTCCAGGAAGAGGGCTGCACAAAGTAGGGAATGATCAGTGTTAACCAGCCAACAATATCACACAATACTGGTACACTCTCAGACTTCCCCAATACACTGAAGCACTTTTCCATTCAGATGCATACATCTGTGATATTGCTTAATTGGTTTGACAAAGATCAACATCAATTCTTTAAACACCAAGTTTGCACTTGGTAAGCAATAAGAAATTATAAGCAAGCAATAAGAAATTTTATACCATTTAAATCTCCCAGGTGTTTTTTTTTAAAAAAAGCAAACCCAAACCACGGATATTGTAAGCACTTTGCGAGCAGCTGGTGCAGTTTGTTCTTTCTGCAATATGGTTCTTCGTTCCATTTACTTTTCTCAAACCGATGGCTTCCATAAACAATTCACTTTTTTAATCATTTATTCAATTTGACACTTATCAAAATAATTGTAATGTGGGGAGGGGAAGGAATTATGGAATATTTAAATTTATAATAATAATAATCCTTGCATTTATCACATCTTTGAAATGTCTCAAGGCACTTCACAGAATATACTGTAAAGTGAATTAACTGTATATTTATGTAACACATATCAAAACAACGTATGGTGCATTCAATTACAACTGAGAGTTGTCAGCCAGCTTTGTGGATGTGCTGAAACCACAGGTTACTGTAAACCTGTTTGTGCTCCGAGCTTTGAATTACATGCAGTGAGTGAAAAGCAATCGATGTTACACAGCAGTGCACACATTGTAGAAATGTGGGTTTAATGAGCAAAGTTGTCTTTACTTACAGAATGCAAACTTTGCATATGTTCACATCTAACATCGATTACTGTAAATTGTATTAAATAGTATTAGAAGTCAAAGGCAACTGTGAAAGTTACCTACAAAGTAGGTAGGTGTTTTGCACTATGTATTTTGTGCACAAGTCTTTGAGAGAGTGCCTGCTTCATATAGGCTAACTGCATTGGGTTTTTCACTTTAATCCACCGCAGGAGTTACTGAATACAGACACCACAATGTGTACAATACTTATCCACCCGGGTAATGGAGCAGTATTTTATACCACATATCAGATGAGTGAATAGGAACCCTATAGGGAATATTTATCCAATGGCCAAACCCACCTGATTAATGCATAAGCAACAAAATCATGCGCTGATATAGAAATACTCAACAGGTTTATTTTTCATAGATAAGATGGAATAGACAGACCTGAAATGGTCAGAAAGTAACTGAATGGAGGTGAATTTTTAGAGGATGAACACTGATATGGAAGGTGGTGATGCAATGACATGAAATATTTGATATGGAACCTTTCATGTCAGGAGAGTGTCTCAAAGCACTTCCCAAGATTATTAAATTAATGTGACTTTTTGTGGGTGAATGTGGCAGCCAATTTGCTTACAGCAATGTCCAATAAGCAGCTATTAAGTGAATGCCTAATTTTATCTGGGAGACTGCTGGCCACTGCCTTGGGGGAAAACTTCTCTATCTTTTCGAATAGTGCCAAGGGATCTTTAAAATCCCCCTGAACAGGCGCAGACAGGACCTTGGTTTCAAGTCTCATCCAAAGGAAGTCACCTCCGACAATCCAGCACTCCCCCAATAATGCAATGACATGTCATCTTACACTGTAAATCCAAAGTCCATACTTAGGACATGAAGCCACGACCTTCCCGCTCAGAGGTGAGAGTGCTACCAAGTATGCCAGGCTGACGCCTGCAATTATATTTAAGACTTGTAAGAACTAAATGAACCCAAAACATCAAACTCTACAAAAGGAGGATACAGATTCACTGAGAATCTGAGCATTATGCAATACAGTACAATACTGAGTTCAGGAGACAGAAATGGAGTATGTTTTAGAACAAAAAATGTTGATACACATTATAACTCTTCCCCATACCCTGGAATAGTTTTTTAGCCAGTGCAATTTCTAACTCCTAGCACCTCAGCAGATCAACATCGTCACCCTGACCTACAAATCTTTTTCAGTCCCACCCATTCCATCCTCTCTTTTGTCCTTCGGTTAAAGTCCAAAGTCTCTTAGAATACGCCTTGCTTTTGATTTCACGTTGTTGAGACGTCTCAAAGCGCTTCACAGGATATACTCTCGTGGATTGATCGTATTTTGTGAGCAAAACACGGCAGCCAGTTGTGCACAGCAGTGTCCCACAAACAGCCATGGAGTGAGTGACCAATTTTATTTGGAGGATTGTTGGGACAGGACACAGGGAGAAACTCCTTCTCTTTTCGAATAGGGCTATAGGAACTTTAACATCTAACTGAACAGGCAGACAGGACCTCGGTTTAACGTCTTATCTCCTTGAACCTTCTCTCCTTGCCTTCATAATATCTGATGTGATATATATTAAACTCCCCCTCCTTAGGGATCCCATCATCTTTGTGAAGGGCGAGCTAAATTTAATGTTCAAAGCACAATGTCTCCATATAAAACAGAGCATATAAATTGGACAAAATATTTCTGGGTTTGAATCTCACTTAGTGCTTTATGCTTATTGAGGTTCATAATACCAAGTCTAAAATAAAATACTCATTGAGTGCATGGTCTGTCTCCAAGGAGACAGATCTAACAAACATCTCTGCAGTAATACAATGCAAAATTACATTTGTATAGCACATTTCATGTTGGGAGGACGTCCCAAGGTGCTGGACAGTAATGATGGTTGACCAGCAGAGGTTAGCTCTTTGTAGGTGTAAACATGTCCTCAAGCTTGTGGGCCAAAGCCATCAAGGGTAGGGTGGTGTGAGCTAGACAAGTTCAGTGAAACAAACCGCAGATTTAGCACTAATCCAACTAAATAGAAATCTGTTCCCCAAAACTCATTAAAAAAAATGCCTAATCTTCCCCTTTGATAATAATCTTAAATTGATGTCCTTAAACTACTGACTCACCAGTCAGGGTGATAATGTGTCCCTGTAAACTATCAAAAAACTCCTGATAATTTTAAATACTTCAATCAGGTTTCCCCTCAACCTTCTCTACCAGTGAAAATAGGCTTAGTTCCCTCCAGCCTCTGCTCATAAGTCAAACCACTCATTCTTTGTAATCCTAGTAAATCTCTGCATCCTCCCTATGGCTCCACTGTCATTCCTCAATTGTGGTCTAACTAATGATTGATACACGTTAAGCATTACCTCTCTGGTTTTATATTTTTACCATTAGGGAGTACTGTAGCTCAGTGATTAGAGCACTCACCTCGCTAATGAGAGGACCTGGGTTTGTTTCCTGGGCAAGGTGAAACATTGGGCAAGTTTCCTTACTCCACACCGTCTCTGTTTACCTAGCAGTAAGTAGGAACCTCATTGTTAGATGATTGGCGGATCGCTTTTCCTGTGCTTGCAGTTATCTTTTTCCCTCCCTATCCCACCTCCCTCGGCTCCCACCCCCAGCTCAGTTTTGAGACGTCCTTCTGCCGTGATAGAGGTACGTGTATAAATGTTGTTATATTTCTGGAAGGGAAACACAAAAATATTGCTTATGCAGCCTGGGGAAGTTTCTCAAATGGGGAATCTGGCAACCGGCAGCCAAAAGGTTAGACCCCCACCACCCATCTTAGGTTAAACATTTTGTCCTCGTCTTGTTTATTTTTGCCACTCTGCAGTACTCTGATGTGGTTTTAACAAGTATCTCAAACTCCAGAATTAATCAAGGACATTTCACAGAAATTGCCAGGCTGATTTGTCCCCCACATCAGCTACTTACTTTCACACATCTTTTGGTGCATAAAACAAAAGGAGCTTCAGCCTTGGCCAGTATTGTGAGAACAACCTTGGAACTCACTGGTTTTGCAATAAAATCACACTTTCTACAGTTTAAAATGGTAACAGCCACAGTTTATGATTTTTTTTCCCCTGGAGAAATTTCATTTTGGAGGCCAGTCATTGTTCAGTCTACTTGTGAGGTTTCCACGTTAGCATATAATAATTCTTGATTTTGATATAGCGCTTTATCACATCTCCGACATGTCTCAAAATGTTTCACAGAATATACTGTGCAGTGTAATCACTGTATATTTTGTGGGTGAAACGCAGCAGCCAGTTGCTCTCAGCAGTGTTCCACAAACAGTTGTGGATTTTTTTTATTTCTATGCTAAACACATTTTTTAAATGCCTGTTAAATATGCACATTAAATGCACATTTAACATGCCATTTATAGAGCTGCAATCAGAAGCAAAAGATGTCAGTGGTTTAGCATTGGAAATTTAGAAAGGGAAACACTTTAAGTACCCATATCCCCTGCAACAGTCCAAAAGACAGCACAATATGGGTAAATAGTGACCCAGCACAACTCAGTTAATCACAGTCAGTCCTTTCAAAGTCAGAAGGTTGTCAGTTCAAGACTCAAGTTGGGACCTTGAGCTCATAGTCTAGGCTGACAATCCATCTGCCTGTTCAGGTAGATAATAAAATCCCATGGCAGTATTCGAAAGAGAAAGGAGTTTCTCCCAACATCCTGGCCGACAATCCCCCAAATAAAATTGGCCATTTCACTTCATGGATATTTATGGGATATTGCTGCGCACAAATCGGCTGATGTGAAAAGACACTGTACAAAATGCAAGTATTACTATCATTACAAATAAACACAACACTCTGCAGAATACTTGGCAAAGCACTTTTGGTGTTCTAACCTGATAAAAGCATCAAATGCAAGGATTATGCCACCATAAAAAAAATATTGATCCATCTGTCCCAGCACATTAAAGCAATTAAAATAACCCATAATTTTACACTATTCTCTAGTACCTCTCAGGTATATTCTTTGCCAAAAAGCTGTCCAATTCCCTTCCACTTGAATTTGAAATGTAATGGCATAATCTGCCTCCACCCTGCTATTCACCAGAATGCATAAAGTAATTTAACCTGAACTATGTGCTCTCTTCTGAGCTCAAATTTATGTTACCCGTTCGCGGTTTGGGGGAATTGGCTTTCAGTTTATCTCTGCTCTTTTAAGATCTTGAACAGTATCGTCCCTAAGCCTTCTCTCCTTTAGTGTGAACTTTTTTCAGCTTCCATTGTAGCCTGTCCTCATAACTCACCATCAACCAAGTTGCCTCTCCAATGCCAAGAAGTCCTCGCTGAAATGCAGTGATTAGAATTAGATGCCAGATCGTGGAGAAGCCGTGCCCTGAACAAGTTCAACACCTTTTCTCGTGATGTCTGCTTTGCTTCACAAGATCCTGTTTGTTTTCTTTTCTGTCAGTGCTCACCTTAAGCCATGGTAAAATTTTCTCTGATCTGTCCTCCAGCACCCGATTGATGTTTTATGTCCTGTAGCCTCACACAGTTTAGTTCATGATCCTATCTTTTATTCTCTTTCCCCAATCGCATCCCTGTTTTCAGCTTGTTAAAATGCAGTATTCGTGAAGTCTTGATAAGGCTCTATATCAAATGCAAGGATTATTATTATTTATATACACCCAATGTTGTGGGGTGGAGGGGGAGATGGAGAAAGAGAGAAAATCATGAGACTTTTAAGTAGATACAACAGCACCAAAAATAATCGATTCTCCTTCGGACTTCAATAATCAATTATGTAATAGTACATTTTATTGATGTAATAGACACTGCATTCCATATAATATACTGGCAAAAGAGGAATTTGCCTGCATGACTGTCCCTTTCTGTTACAGTGCTGCCACTCTCGTTACCACATGATAATTTCAAAAGATTTGAGAAGGAAATTCCCAGCTGTCACATAATGCACTCAGTTTACTTCAAGAAAATAAGTAACTATCAAGGATTTTCAGCAATGGCTGCACAATCCCAAGACAGCTATTTATTTCCAGTCCTCAGATAACACTTCTATTTCCCCAAAGCGGTGGTAGAGTGTCCAGTAATGGCAGACTCCATACAAATATGTATACGCACATGCCAACAAACTTTGCATACACTACAGAAACACACAGCTGGGCCAGGAACAGGCTATAGATTCTAGCAAAATTTGAGCTCCTCAGTGGTCAATAAGTCTCGTAAAAACATCAACAATATTGTTTGATGTGGCTTAGTGGTTAGAGCACTTGCATAACAAATGAGAGGACCTGTGTTCGATTCCCGGCAGGGTGAAATGTTGGGCAAGTTTCCTTACTCCATACACCTCTGTTTACCTAGCAGTAAGTAGGAACTCGGTTGTTAGTTGATTGGCAGATTGCTTTTCCGGGGGTAATAATTCCTTCAAGATAAATAAAACATAATTTGGTCACTCAATCCACAATTGTTTGTGGGCCACTGTTGTGGGTAATTGGCTGCCACATTTGTCCCACAAAATACACAGTTAATTCACTTTACAGTGAATTATTTTACTGTAAATTACTTTATTGTGAAGCGCTTTGAGACGTCTCAAAGATGTGATAAGACGCTATATCAAATGCAAGAATTATTATTGTCACTTGGTTAATCGTGACTTAGAAACCAGCGTACACGCCGCAGTTACTTTTAAGGAACCAGCTTCATAATGAATGAATGAACTTAGAATGAATTTAGTAATTTTCCAAAATATTGTACAACCGTAATTTTGTTAGGAATGTCTCAAGGGTAAAAGAGAGAATTTTTATGCCTCAACTGTCCCAGCAGTCGACTTACAAATGCCACAAGCAGAAGATTACAAGTAAAAGATTACTGACTTGATTGTAAAACTGTTGTGTGAAGGAGGGTGCTGTAAAATGGTTCAAAAACTTTGCAGTTGGTTGATATCAAGATCTTGCTATTCTAGCAGCTGCACAAGGCAGCATAAAACATACATCACAAATAGTCACTACACTTTACAGAAACTTTGTGAAACGTTTTGAACAGTTTGACATTCTAGGCTTACCGGGACAAGGATTATTAGCAATTGTATAATAATAGTACCGCTGACTTCACAGACAAATGGGGAAAGAATCAAAAATCAAATCCAGATATTGCACCAGAAATCAATTCAGAATTATGATAATGATAATCCACTTCCCATCTATTCCCACACTTTGCAACTGCACAGCATGAAGCATCAAGAACATGTCCTTAAAGTACTCAGTGAAGAACTCAGTCCTTTTGTAAAATAGCTTCAGTTCACACTCATCAACTTCAATGATTAGCATAGCTTCTGAATAAGGAATGAACTTGATAAGGTGCAATATCAAATGCAAGGATTATTATTTATTATTACTTACCTTAAGTGATTTTCTTTTCCACAAAGTATTTCAAACGCAGCTACCAACTCAAATTCCAGAGAAAAAAGTTTTCTTATTTGTTTCCCTCTCATCATTTGCTTTATGGATCTCAAGGAAGATTTGGGTCACTGCTTTGGTGCAGTAACGAGTTATCATAAAGACACAGTCACTCCACTTTACAATATATTCTGTGAAGCCCTTTGAGTCGTCTCAACAATATAAAGTGCTATATCAAATGTAAGGATCATTATTATTATGAAAATAAATCTAAGCACTATTTTCTTTCAAAGAAACATCCCAACTCATTCTTAAATAGTAAGGGTGATTATGCAGTATGGCTTACTAACAAATACACTGCAATCTTACTCCAGATCAGTATTAATAAGTAAAATGATCTCATCATTCCTTTGTACACTAACTAACTTTGTACTGAAACAAGAATATAAGATTCATTCCTCATTTCTCGCCAGGAAACTTATTTTTAAAACACAAAGAGTTTTATCTGAAAATAGTAAAAAAAATCAAAGTCCTAAAAAAAATTCCGTGTAAAAGTAGCAAAAATTCCAATAGGCTTAGAATTGAAAACCAGAGGAAATAAACTATTTTAAAATCACTGGTGGATTTTTTGGGGCTGTAATTATCATCTAAGAAAAAAAGTCGCTGACAAATAACTATTACACTTGATTAGGAGTGCAAACAAGTTTATAGGGAAAAGAAAAAAAAATGCTCGTTTGTATAGGGTAACCTGATCACTTCTACAAAGTTAGACTTTCTTTAAAATAAACAGCTGCTTTAGTACAAAATGTTTTTGTTTTAAAAAAGATGCTCCGATAGAATGTGGAATAACATTTAAGTGACAACATTTCCTGGAACAATTAGGTTATTCAATGCATCTTATGCAGCTGCATCCATTTTGTAGGCCTCTCACAGCCACTTTCAGTATCAAAGTGCTTACATAAGGCAATTCCAACCAGTTCACTCCAATCTGCTCCTGCACTTCCCCACACTGTCTCCAACACAACAACAACAACAACAACAAGGATCTGCTCGGGTCCCATTAAAACAATGCAACAAACGCCTCAGCACCAAGTCCATCACGTGAAAAGTGTTTGCTTTGACGCTGTGTAGGTAGTCAGATGCTGCAGTTACTCCCTATTCCCCATACACAGCCCTCTACATTTTTAAAACCATACCAAAGGCATCGCAGCTTTCAGGGTGGGGGATATGTCCAGAAAGTCACAGTCTCCTGTGCTCTTTGCCTCTCTCTTTTGCTACAGTCGGACAGAGCCCAAAGCCCTGAGAAGGTCACAGTCACATTTCTTCATCTGACATTCCACTGGCAGCAGCTCCCCCTCCACATCACTATCACTAACAGTACACTGTGCCCTCCCTCAAGCTTCACCCCCAGCCCCCCCAGCCCAAACCCAGCCCCCCCCAGCCCAGCCCCCCCCAGCCCACCAGCCCAAACCCAGCCCAGCCCACCCCACCCACCAGCCCAAACCCAGCCCCCCCCAGCCCACCCCCAGCCCAAACCCAGCCCCCCCAGCCCCCAGCCCAGCCCCCCCCAGCCCAAACCCAGCCCCCAGCCCAGCCCCACCCCCAGCCCCCAGCCCACCCAGCCCAGCCCCCCCCAGCCCAACCCAGCCCCCCCAGCCCACCCCCAGCCCCCAGCCCCCAGCCCCCCCAGCCCACCCCAGCCCCCAGCCCCCCCAGCCCAGCCCCCAGCCCACCAGCCCCCCAGCCCACCAGCCCCCCCCAGCCCCAGCCCAGCCCCCCCAGCCCAAACCCAGCCCCCCCAGCCCCAGCCCAGCCCCACCCCCAGCCCAAACCCAGCCCCCCAGCCCCACCCCCAGCCCAGCCCCCCCCCAGCCCCCCAGCCCACCAGCCCAAACCCAGCCCCCCCAGCCCAGCCCCCCCAGCCCACCAGCCCAAACCCAGCCCCCCCAGCCCAGCCCCCCCCAGCCCAAACCCAGCCCCCCCAGCCCAGCCCCCGCTCAGCACCACCCCCAGCCCAGCACCAGCCCACCAGCCCCAGTGTGCCTTACCTCTCTTGCCTTTGGAGGAGCTATTCTTCCTCGGGTTGAGTTGTGACTCCTCTCTCTCCCCTCTAGAGCAGCTGTGCGCAGGTCTGGGTCCTCTTCCCCATTGTAGGGACAGCCCCCGGGTTGGCTGCACTGTGGCCGGAGTGTCCTGGCCGGAGCCAGGCTGCGGGTGGTCAGTGAGGCTGTGAGGCCCGAGTGCTCCTCCTCCCTCTCCCCCCCCCGGGATGTGATTACACTCCAACAGGAAGCACTTCCTTTGAACTGAACGATAATCTGAGTGACTGGGAAGTGGACCCGAACAAAGGCCACTCCGTCAGCACAAGAGGGCGTGAGCCGCCCCCCCGCCGCTGAGGCGTCAGGTACACTGCTACAGCCCCCAGCGGCCGGCGGACTGCAACACATCCCCCCCAGCCCACAGCCCCCCCCCAGCCCCCCCAGCCCACAGCCCCCCAGCCCACAGCCCCCCCCAGCCCACAGCCCCCCCCCAGCCCCCCCAGCCCTCAGCCCCCCCAGCCCACAGCCCCCCCCCAGCCCACAGCCCCCCCAGCCCACCCCCCCCAGCCCACAGCCCCCCCCCCAGCCCCCCCCAGCCCACAGCCGCCCACAGCCCCCCCCAGCCCACAGCCCCCCCCAGCCCACAGCCCCCCCCCAGCCCACAGCCCCCCCCAGCCCACAGCCCCCCCCCAGCCCACAGCCCCCGACCCCCCACAGCCCCCACAGCCCACAGCACCCCACAGCCCACAGCCCCCCCCAGCCCACAGCACCCCACAGCCCACAGCACCCCCATCCCCCACAGCACCCCCAGCCTCCCAGCCCACAGCCCCCCAGGCCCACAGCTCCCTCAGCCCCACCAGCCCACAGCCCCGCGTTAACAATCACTCACAATCAATAACAGTCATAATAGTCACATTAACAATCAGCATTTGATAAAGCGCCTCATCACGTCTTCTCGACGTCTCAAAGCGCTTCACAGAATAGACTGTAAAGTGAATTGATTGTATATTTGTGGGCGAAACGCGGCAGCCAATTGCGCACAGCAATGTCCCACAAACAGTCGTGGGTTGAAGTGACCAAATTATTTTTTTCTTGAGGGATTATTATCAGGTGTGCAGAGTACAGAAACTCTTCACTGCTGGGAATCAAACCCAGGTCTCTCATGTGCAAAGTGAATGCTCTAACCACTGAACTACAGGACTGCACAAGACCTCAAAGCCAGATTTCACAAGGATTAATAATTCTTGTCAGCTTTTGGCCGAGCACTTGAGTCCACTAATCCGTTGAAAGAAACCTAGCAGTTTACCCAGCAGTAAGGAGGAACACGGTTGTCAGTCGATTGGTGGATCACTTTCCCGGGGGTTATTAATAATCCCTTCAAAAATAATTAATTAAATAAATAATAATTTGGTCATTCGATCCGCAGCTGTTTCTGGGACACTGCTGTGTGCAAACGGCTGCCGAGTTTAGCCCCCAAAATAAATATACAGTCAATTCACTTTTTAGTATATTCTGTAAAGTGCTTTGAGATGTCTCGAAGATGCGATGAGGCGCAATATCAAATGCCTTTTATATTGATTTCCAAGGAACGTTTGCTGTAGTAAGCAAAAAAACTAATTTCTATAGTGTTGTTCACATAAAACGTCTTGGCGTGCTTTACCCAACGAAATTAACAAATTAAATAGAAATTTGTGAAGTCCTGTAGCTCAGTGGTTAGTGCATTCACCTCATAAGTGAGAGACCTGGGCTCAATTCCCAGCAGGGCAAACTCTTGGGCAAGTTTCTTTACTCCACATACCTAATAATAATCCCTCAAGAAAAAAAATAATAATTTGGTCACTCAATCCACGACTGTTTATGGAACACTGCTTTGCGCAATTGGCTGCCACATTTTGCCCACAAATATACAGATATTCACTTTACAGTATATTCTGTGAAGCGCTTTGAGACATCTAGAAGATATACCAAATGCAAGCATTATTATAATAAAGTGAATGTAAGAGAGACATGCAATACTTCATTTGTACCTATACTGTCCCACAAAACCTGATGTGAGCAGCCAATAATAATAATAATACTTACATTTGATATAGCGCCTTATCACATCTTCAAGATGTCTTAAAGAGCTTCACAGAATATTTGGCAGCAGCCAATTGCGCACAGCAGTGTCCCACAAACAGTCGTGGATTGAGTGAACAAATTAATTTATTATTTTTGTAAATTTGACAATTAATTAAAATACAAGGTTTTAAATGGGCTTAGGAAAAGTAAACAATATTTCCAAATCACAAAATCAGTGAGACACAACATCCAGCATTCGGTTTTATTACTGAATGGTTATCAAAAACAAGAATTCTGACTGAATTTTAATCTCCCTAGGTTGGGAGCATTGAGAATAACTGTAGCATCATCTCGGCCAATTTCAATCAACTCAGGGAAGAACAGGGATCAAAACCGAGTGCTCTCAAATATACAGAAAACTGTTGATAACTCAATCCTGGCTTAACTTGCCACAACCACTTAAGTCATCATTGGTTTATTGATAATTCAAGTGTTTGTTAAATATTGCTGTACATTCATATGCAGGAATTTCCCCTTTACAGGTACTTAACAGTTTTATAACTAGAAGCAAAATCAATTAAAGAACTTTAATTTATTTTAGGACAACTGGAATTCTTATTACACTTTTCTTTTTAAGTCCAACTGGACTGAACTTAGCGGTTGACTCTCAACCAGGATCTTGCGAGTTAGAGTCCCAGGGCTGCCTGTCACTTGAGTTCATCCACCAAGTAGATATTTTCTGACTGCTTGGCTGATCTCCCGGTTGACCAGACATTTTTATGCTCAAGGAAGAAATCCAACAGTAGTCGGGGAGAACTTGGCTCGGGAATCCTGCTCATAGGTGAAGGATGCTGTGTGTTTGGAATCGGCTGGAAGAGGAATGGAGAGAAAATACTCTTTTTTCAGTGTACATCACTTACTCTTTCAAAGATATCCATTCCTCAGAAGTGAAGGATTCTGTATGTTGGAGAAGGCAAAAGAGAATATATTGTGTCCATATAAATATGTATATATGTCACTGAACTTTTTCATTGGACATCAATAGAAAAGTTAAGAGTGCAATTAATCGCGCACTCTTTCAACTCCTATCCATTTATATGCCTGTCTTTTGTGACAATTGTTTTCATGTTCTTTTATGTTGGGATTTTTTTAGCCGACCCATTAAGCTAACAAAATACTTGGTGTAATGAAGATTGCTGTAATGAAGGTAGTATGTTAAAAACATTCTTTATATCACTCTGAATTAAATTTTGTATACAGTCCAAGCATATTTTGCAGATTATTGAACAATTGGAGTCTTATAGCTTAGTGGTTAGAGCACTCGCCTCGCAAGCGAGAGGACCAGGGTTCAATTCCCAGGCAGAGCGAAATGGTGGGCAAGTTTCCTTACTCCACACGCCTCTGTTCACCTAGGAGTAAATAGGGACACGGTTTAAGTCAATTGGAGTATTGCTCTCCAGGAGTAATAATCCCTTCCAAAAATTTTTTTTTTTTAAAATGATAGTTTAGTCACTCAATCTGCTGTTTGTGGGATACTGTTTTGCGCAATTGGCTGCCGCATTTCACCCACACAATATACAGTCAATTCACTTTATAGTATATTCCGTGAAGCGCTTTGAGACATCTTGAAAACGTGATAAGATGCTATATCAAACACAAGGATTATTATTATTATTTCCTGGCCATGTTTATTTATGTATTTGCCTGCTTGTCGTTGCTCCGGATAACTCATCATTGAACCCTTTGTCCTTAGAGTGATGAGATATCAGGAGTTTACTGTATTTACCTTGCTGAATACATCACCTGGTACAATTGCCCTCTGAGCAATTGCAGAACGTCCATTATACATCGGCAAAATGAGTACTAAACCTGCAGTAAAAAGACTAATAAAGAACTGTGAGAGGCCGTTATGTAGGTCAGGGCAGCAAGAGTATTTGCTCAAGAGGGCAGCGGGGTTTTAATAGAGCTCCTTGGTGTTCAACGCTTATGGGCTGGGCCTATAGAAAAGCATGGAAATATTTGCCAAAAAAAAGGGGAGCAGTTTACAAAATTGTGGAGAACTTTACTAGATTTTGCGGAAGATTGAAGAAGGTTGATTGGTGCTATTTATTGAGAGACACATTTTTCTGCTAACCTACATTTTTTTCCTCTTTTCTCATTTTTAATAAGCTCCTTCAAGTATGTATTATGGAGCTATGATGGTGTTGGAATACTCCATCCCTGTTTTGTGTACTTCCACAGAAACTCTTGGAAGGCAGGAGCTTTTTCAAGCGGTATGTCTGCTCTAATCAAACTCCGCACAAAGTCCAATCTGAATTCTTTCCTTTCCATATATGATGTAGCGGCTCTAGAGAAGCAGATTGTCAGAGCAAGTTGTTTTTGAGGGTCCAGATCCACCTAGAAAGGAAAAATAAAAATTGATCTTCATGATACATTTGTCATTAGAATTGTTCTGTCTATTTGTTTTGTTTGCTGTGGTTGTTTTATGTGCTTTTAAAGCAAAAAGGAGGGAGATTAACTTTTGTAATCATACAAATTAAGATTTTCTTTCAAAAAAAATAAAGTAAAATGTAATTAATGATGCATTTTCATTTAATATTATGTGTATATATATATATATCAAAAGTATTTTACCTTCATTTTTTTTCTTTATTGCCACTGCCTTGCGTTCACAATGTTTCTGAGATTTCATGTGCTCATTGATCGTGTACTTGCAAACACGATCAATTGTGTGACAGCAAAGTTAGCAAAACAACTACCCCCCCTTCTTCATAAAGGTCATCTGGATAGAGTACAATTCTATCTGAGGGACAGATGGAAAATGAGACGTGCTGCCCCTTGGCTTCCTCACAGGATTTACAAAAACGTTTGGACATTTCTGTATCGTACAACCTAAAAAGTCAAACAACCCTGATCAAAACTGGCTGGATATTTCCTGAACATGTAGTTATGTTTAAAACACTGAATATTTTAATGTGAATAGTACAGCAATTACCCAGAATTTGTTGAGCTGCTTTTTCTTATCGGTCCTGCAATTCACCTCCCCGCAGCGCATGCGCGAACAGAACCGCTCCAGCCTTAGAAGAGAGAGGCATTGAGCGAATAGTGCGAGAGGCCTGGGCCCTCACAGTGTGTGTAAAGATTAGTACCCTTTAAGCGATCTGAGACGCTACCCTGCATGGAGGGTGCTATATATAAGTGCAAGCCGTTGTTGTTGTACCCGAAGATCATTGTAACGGAAAGTGCAGAAAAGTGCGCCCGCATTTTTCTATTGGTCCAG